TTACCTTGTCCTCACTGGCCATCAGTTTTCTTTAGTGAGCTTAGCACTGTACAGAAATTCAGCAGCAATGTTGAGTTGCCATTGTCACCTATGATCATTACACAGAAAAATGCCTGGATGTTCAAAGTCATTGACCTACCATCTGTTACACTAATTGTGGAGTAAAATTTTTTTTCAATATTTGCAGACACATAAAACATAAGAATTATGGAAAAAAGATTAAATGAGATACTCTTAATTTTAAATCATTGGTGTTGGTGAATACTGACACATGCAGATATGCATTTGCCTCCCCTCTTACAGGGAGTGCATATATCTCGACCCCACTGAACTCACGTGAAACAAATGGGAGCAGTCATGTTCTTAAACCAACAAACACAAACCTCCTGCTTCCTAGCTACCAGTATTTCCAAACTTGGTACCAGAAAAGGCATGAGTAAACTTACAATAATATTAACATAACTTTTAGGCTCCTGAAATATAAGTGCATTTTTCCCCATGTGAAGGAAGCTGGTCTGCAGTAAAAGGGAATGAAACCAGCAGGATAGAAAAAATGGTCTTTTAAGTTTTTGTTTGTAATTGTTGCTGCCTTACCCTTCAATAAGTTTTGATTTCCAATCGTATCTTAAATTACATTATATACCCCAATAGTTTCTCAAAAAATTCTGTTTTTTATCTTGAGAGCTAATTTGAATTGGGTTTCTGTTGATTAAAAGAATTAAGACTAACAGAGGTATTAAGTTGGCAAAAGATCTTTCTGGTTAGTACATTTTCTGTTACCATGAAGTATTATTTTCTAACAGTCATTTTCAATGCAGAATATAAGAGTGCAGAAGAGCATATGTTTTTTAAACATGGTTCTGAATGTTGATGGCAGTAGTGATAATTTGAGGCATAACATTTAGGGACAGGCTAGTTGAGAGACACAAGGTTCCTTCAAGGAACATGCTCAGGAATATCTTTAACCTCCATTCTTTGTGTCTGCTAGAATTTGGAATGTCTGACTTTCCTGGCATGGATCAGATTTTTAACAATTGTCAGATAAAAATTTCTGGTCAGAAAGAGAACTTGGAACAGAACTTGGGCAAAGTATTGCATATGCCTTTTTATTTCATGTCAAATGTAATATCCAAACAATGTTGGGGTATTTCAGAATTGCCTATTTGGACATTTTCAATCTTTTGAATATCCTTAGTTCTTGACCTGCTCATTCACATTTGAGATCACATGACGCAAGAGGGTTCTCATAGCATCCCATAGGTAAAAAACTTCTGCGGTGATTTCCAGGCTACCGATCCAGCATTAGAGGCAATATTCTGATTATTTTTTGTTACATTTCCCAGGATAAAGCCTGCAGGGTTTTGCTCAGATTACATTTCTGTTCATGGAGTATTCCAGTGAGGCCTCTATCTGAGTTAGATTTTCATTAAACATCGCCAAAGTGAACTCTCATTGAATGTTATTTGGCTTTGTTTGGGAAAAAAGACACAAGCCTCTCCCTTAACAGATTGGAAATATACATGAAAGGAGCTTGCTATTTAGTGCCTATATTTTATTGATTTTACAGGAAAGAAATTCATTTTTACAGGAACAGGCATTGGATTAGCAAAAAAAAATCATTATGTTTGTCTCCTTTGTTCTTTTGTGAAGAAAATACATCATTACAGTGTTTGCATAAGATTAGGAAACCCTCAGAGGATTATCCCAAAGATAACTCATAACACTCCATTATGACCTCATAATATCCAGAGAGACCTCTGCTAGCACAGCCAACCTTTCAACTTTTAAGAAAACCTTTTCTAAAAATTCAACCGTCAGCCAAAAAGGGATAATTTTATACACATTTAAATAGCTGTATTAACTAAATTGTCTAAAATGATACATAATTTCCATGTTTACAGTAATCAAACTAGAACTAGAAGTTCCGTGTTGCTCTTTTCAGTAGTGGTTTTAAAGGTTTAGTTGTTTAGAGGACACTGAAGCTTATGTTTACAATACCAAAAACATAGCTAATAGGTTTCTTAGAAAATTATTGCCTTAATTTAAATTCATTTGTGGAAGAAATTCAAATTATTTTCCACTTTCCAATTGCTGGAATAAGGTACCTTTCACCTTGTGAATGCTATCATTTGACCACAACTACCTATATATTCAATTGCCATTTAGGAAGAAAATAAAAGCAAGGAAGGGAAATAAAGTAAGAAGGTCAATGGCCCTAGATTAACATCATAAAAGGCAAGTTGAGATTTATAGAAATCTCAAAGAAAGTCTCTAAAGTCTGAGAGAGAAAATAGGTAAAATGAATGGCTCTGTTTATGTTGATGAGTCTCTATCCTGCTAGTTTCTAAAAAACTTATTTTCACTGTCCTTAACTATTTTATTCACTAAGAAATAATGACTTGTCACTCATGTTCAAAATTGTTTTAGGTGCTATGTGTGACATAGAGGAGAACTAGTACTTCCCCTTACAATAGCCATAATCCACAAAAACATTTGGATTGCTGATCTGCTTATGAAGATTTTCAGAATCCATATTTAGTCAATTTTACTAAGTAAAATTTTTAGCCTTGCTACTTTCCTGCCTGTGATGGAGACAGGGTATTCTGGATTGCTGCATAAACGTCTTAGTCATCTTGCTCAGGATACCGTTAATGCAGATTTAAAAGCACACCTGACATTTATCAGTTCACTTTCTCATTCTGTTCTCCAAAACTCAACTTTGAGAGATGCTATTAGCCAGGAATATTTCCTTGAAAATTCAGTTATTTGCATATGTTTGCCAATTGTGAGATGACTAAATGATACTATAATTTTAATTGCAGTAATTCAGAGTACTGTCCCTTGATAATACCCCGGGGAAAACAATACAACTGATGCAAGACAGGCAAGGCTCCAAATTAGGGCTTATTTCAGGAGGGTTTTTGGCTTCATACATAAAAGAATTCAAGGACAAGCAGGTGGTGTTAGACAGCGATCTTTTATTGAAAGGGACTGCTCCTTGCTGAGCAGGGCTAACCCTTTTGCAGTTCATCCAGAGTTAGCAGTAGTAGCTTATGGGTTGTTGTCAACTGTATTTACACTCACTTACACCAACTTTCACTTACATGCAAATTAAGGGGTGAGTTAATGCAAACTGAGGATTTGGTTATTCAGAACTTTCTAGAAAAAGGGGCAATAACTTCTAGGTCATTGCCTGGTAAAAGGCAGTAACTTCTGGCTTGCTATGACATTTGTAAATTGTCATGGGGCTGGTGGGAGTCTCTTATGCTAATGAGCAGTGAGGGCAATTAGAGGTTGCCTTCAGCACCACCTGCTAGTTCCTGCGGGTTTTTTCCCTTCAGCTGTGCATCACCTGCTGGTTCCTGCCAATTTCTTCATTTCATTCTGTTCTGACAGGGAAATAAGTCATGCTGGTCTCCTACCTCACTCCTTCTCTGACGACTGTCTCACACATCTTAAGTAGACAACTTGGAACCTAGTCAGACAACTGTGTAAAAAAGTAAAAGTAAAAATAAAAATCACCTGCACCAAGGAATGTGGCAATACATCCAGGAAAACTCCTGCTTTCAAGGCTTGGGACTAATCCTCTGTCGTTTGAGAGCCCAAATTAGGACTTATCACAGGAGGGTTTTTGGCTTCACACATAAAAACATGTGTCTAGTCTCTTCATAGAGTCTTCTGTGTGATTGACTGCGCTGATTCTTTCAAAGCAGTAGTAAAAGGTTGCCCTGGTATGCCTGTGGCTTTCTCTCCAGAACATGCATCCTTGGCAGTGAATCTCTTGATTTTAACATCTTTTGCAGTCTGAATCATCAGGTCCTGGCTCCTTTTTGCTTCTCATCTAATTCCTCTCATTCTTTTCCTGCTCACATTTTACTATAAGCAGCAAGAAAGAAAAAGGCTGTACATTCAACCCTTTGCCTGAAAATCTCCTCAGCTAAATCTCCAAGTTCCTTGCTTACAAGTTCTTGCTACATAACTACAGGACACAATTCAGCTAAGTTTTCTCTCACCATATAAAAGGATTCCCTTTTCTTCCATTTCCGATAATATTTTCCTCATTTCTGCACCCTCACCAGCAGAGACTTTAACATTCTTCTTTTCTTTCTTTCTTTCTCTTTCTTCTTTCTCTTTCTTTCTTTTCTTTTCTTTCTTTCCTTCTTTATCTTTTTTTTCTTTCTTCTTTCTTTCTTTCCTTTCCTTCCTTCCCTCCCTACCTCCCTTCTTTTCTTTCTTTCTTTTTCTTTCCTTCTTTCTTTCTTCTTTGTTTCTTTTTCTTTCTTTCTTTCTCTCTCTCTTTCCTTCATTCCCTCCCTCCCTCCCTCCCTCCCTCTCTCCTTCCTTCCTTCCTTCCTTTCTTCCTTCCTTCTTCCTTTCTTCCTTCCTTCCTCCCTTCCTTTTTTCTGAGACGGAATGTAGCTCTGACACCAGGCTGAGTGCAGTGGCATGATCTAAGCTCACTGCAACCTCTGTCTCCTGGGTTCAAGCAATTCTCCTGCCTCAGTCTCCCAAGCAGCTGGGATTACAGGCACGTGCCATCATACCCAGCTAATTCTTGTGTTTTTAGTAGAGACAAGGTTTCGCCATGTTGGTTAGGATGGTCTCGATCTCCTGACCTCGTGATCCACCCACCCCGGACTCCCTAAATGCTGGGATTACAGGTGTGAGACACCGTACCCGGCCAACATCCACATTTCTACCTACAATCTATTTAAAGCGATGTAGGTGTTCTCTATGGCAACATATTTCTCTACCATGCTCCTCACTTCCTTCTGAGTCCTCACTAGCAGAGTTGTTAACACCATGTTTCTACTAACAGTCTATCCAAAGCAAGCGAGGCCTTTCCTGTCATGCCTCCCAAAGTTCTTCCAGCCTCTGCCTACTCTGTCCAATTCAGAAGTTGCCTGCACATTTTAGGTGTTTGTTACAGTAGCAACTCACTTCCAGGTTTTAAAATCTGTCTTTGTCAGAGTTCAGCCAGAGAAACAGGCAGCAGGAGATGTATAGTAATTGATTTATTGCAAGAAAATGACATATTCAGTTGTGGATGGTGGCTAGACAAATCCAAATCTGTACAGCAGGCAGTTGGGAGGGGCAGGCTGGAATTCTGGGTCATAAGCTGAAGCTGCTGTCCAGAAGCGAAATTTCTTTTTCATCTCAGGGAAGACTTAACTCTGCTTTTCTGGCCTTTCTACTGATTGAAATAGACCCACTCAGGTTATCTAGGAGAGTCTCCCCATTTTAAATTTAGCTAATTGGCAACCTTAAATCTATTTAAACCTTAATTTCTTTGCAGTATAACATATTCATAGGTTTCAGGCATTAGGGTGTGAATATCTTGGTGGTCATTATTTTGCATGCAATACCATTCTAGAGTATCTGCAAAGTTCAGAAACTCCTGGTGAGAGAAGAGTCCAAACAAGAGAGCAAATGTTTTTTCCTCAAATAATTCAACTCCTTCACCAACATATCTTTAAATAAATTTTGTTTGGTTAACTAATGTTAATTCTACAATGTATTTTCTTTCAAATTCCTTATCAATCAGAACAATGTCACAATCCAAAGACAAATAGATGTTGGCATACTGTACCATCAGAAACTCCCTTAAGCCCAGAATTTGGAACTCTGTTAAGATTTTCCTGCTGTGACAACAGGAAATTGTAGGAGATGCATTACTTGGTCCTAGTGTCTATTGGCTTTATAGAAACACCTTAAACACAGTAAATCTGGGTATTAAAAAACCTGTCCAGCACTCTTAATAGGATCATAACTTTAGACAGAGATAAGGAAGAACCCATTAGTCTTTTCTATGTTAATTTACATGAGAAAGAATACATTATGCAGATATATTTTTATGAGATGACATGTGTTTTAGAATGAAAGTCTAATGCTTAAAAGTGTGATCTTGAAAAGCATAGCTTAAAATTATCCATATTCTTAGTGAACAAACAAAACTCCATGTAGGAAGCTTGGAAAAACTACACATAGATAAATGTGAAATGATTCCACCCCAAACTTTTATCAAAAAGTCAGAGCTGTGTAAATAGGAAAAACTAAAAAAAAAACTTTAAAAATGAAATACGACTACAAAAATCATACATTCTTATGTAGTATCATATAGTGTGAAAGGTACTTTCAAAATTAAAGTTATGTTTACTAGGTTGGGTTAATTTCGTATTACCCTTCAGGAATAGATACTATAAATTTATTCAGAAATATGAAATTTCCTGATATAAAATATTTATAATAATACATTAATTTGAAAACTAATTATATAACAACGAGGCCAACGAAATGAGTAACATTACTAAGGACAATAGTAGAAATTTTTTTAAAAAGTGGAATTAAAGATTACAAAAACAAACTGAAAAGTGAGGAAAACAAAATTAATTTTAAAGTTTCAGATACTACATTATTCCAGAAATTCTGATTTCCTCCTACACTCCTGGCTCAGAATATTGGGTAATATTGGCTTCAGAAACTTGAACTCATTGGTCCCAGAAGCTCCCGCCAGACACACCTCGTACTGGTAGCTCTGGGACAGGGTCCCGGTGCCACTTACGTCCACCAGATGCCCTGGAAAGGGACCCTCGGGCACCGAGGCCGCCCGGCCCCTCCTGCACAGCCGCACCGCCACGAACAGGAGCACCGAGAACAGGAAGAGCGACGACACCGAGGCCAA